TATATATATATATATATATATATATATATATATATTACAAGTATCAGCTGAAAGAAAGAAAAAAATACTAAAACCACAATCACTGTTGTTTTTGCAATTTTGCAAGTGTTCTTCAAAATTTTGCAATTACACATAAACAACATTCCAGCAGTGAATTAAATATTTTGTCCAAGTACACTTCAATTATCTCTCCAATCAACCGACATAAAGATTGTGTGAGTCTATGGTCCAGTGTACCAACAACATTTGTACATAATGATGATGTCTTCCTGAAATTAACATTCAATAGGGGTAATCAATAGAATGCTAACAAAAATTATCAATAATCCACGACACATGCACACAAGCTGAACAGCACTTAGGACCACAGATAACAAAACAGGATCATCAAACAACACCATGCAAGGGTAAACCAACCAATCAAACCAATCACAAACACCCAAGTACACAAAAATACAAAGTAATCCATACTCATTTGTAGCTCTCAACTCGAACCCACAAAAGCATCTATAAATTTTGGATTTGGATTCTCTCCAATGATATTTCTGTAAGTAAAAAAATAATTAAATTAAAAAAAAAGTTTTGATTTGAGAGAATCCATTCCCCCATTTTCATTAAGGTGATAATGGTACCACAAAGATAAAAAAAAATTAAAAAAAAATGCAACCTATCATAGTCATACTCTCAATAGGTGAAAAATAATATAAAAGAAAATATGTGGACTAAGATTTGTCTTCTTTTTTCTTTTTGTGGTTGAAATCTTGTTTGATTAAAAAAATGAAAAATTGTTTAACAAAAGAAGAGATACGAAAAAGAGAAATTTTAATAGAAGGTAGAGAACAATTATTTTTGTTTTGCTAGATAAGGTTTTAAAAAAAAAATTTATTTTATAGATTTGATTTACATAATTTTCTAAATTTAATAACTAAGATTAATTTATACTTGTAGGAGGTGATTTTTATTCATCAAGAAAAATGTTTGTAATATTTTTGAAAAACTAATTTATGTCTCCATTTTTGTAATTTGAATTTAAAAAGTAAGTCTAATTTCCTCAACATTATTGAAATAAAGTTAAAATTAGATGAGAGAAAGAATTTCTCCTTGAACCGAATTAAAAAAAATTATTTAAAAATTTTCTCTTTTGTATTATATTTATTTCTAACCAGACCCTGTATTAATAAATAACACACAAAAATTGATTACATTTTTAATACGATCGAATTTTCCTTTTCCTTTATCAAATCAGAGATGTGGGGTCTATAGATTTTTTTTATAGGAGGAAAGAAATATAAGAAAAAAAGAGGAAAAAAATGGTATAAATTGAAATTATTTAATAAAAATAAGGTAGAAAATAAATGAAAAGAAGACAAAAATTTTAATTGATTTATATTAAATTAAATAAAAGGATAAAATTAATATTATAAATTAAATTATCTAAGAACAAAACTTGATTACAGTTTTTTAGGTGTAGTTAGTATCATTTTTCAATCAGAGATTAAATTTTATCTTGATAATATGTGTATTAATGAGACATGTATTAAATATACTTATATAATACTAAAATAAAACTCTAACTTTAATTGAAAAATAACACCGATTATATTTAAAGAATTATATTTAAGATTTTTTCATTGCTCAATTACTCTTCAATAAAGTTATAAAAAAAACATGTTTAGAAGAACAAAAATGTAAAAGAGGTTAAGTTCATCCAATTAAGAAATATATGAAACTAATCAAATCTCTCACACACACTTCTATTTAATTTCACTACATCAAACACACTCAAAATATTAACTCATTATCACTTACACACACTTCTATTTAATTTCACTACATCAAATACACTCAAAATATTAACTCATTATCACTTGTATCATCTTCTCTCTCCCTCCTTCCATCTTCCACTACATAAAATAAGGGCTAAGAATTTTCTTTTTTGTAATGTAAAATCATGACAAAATACAATGATTTATTTTGGTTTCACCTTGAATTAGATGATAACTCATGAATGTGTGAAGAAATTTAATAAGGAATGTCAAATATGCCTAGGTGTTTCGTTATATGTCTATTTTAGTAGGTATTGTAACATTTTTAATGTTAGAAAAAAAATGTCAAATAGCCCTTTTAGTTCATATAGTTTTATTTTAATTCTTGTAGAGTTTTTAGTTTAAAATATTTCTATTTAGTTCTTAATTATACATATTTTTCTTTTAGTTTTTGTTGTTTATTTCTCATTAATTTCATTTCTGTTGCATTGATGTGATGAAAATCACTTCAAAGTAACTTTTTTATGTGATAATAATTTATTATACGAATTTTTAAAGATTACCAAAATGTATCTCAGTCCACATAATCAATTGTGCTCATCACGTAATTGATTATATTGACAAGACAAATACTTGAAGTAATGGAAATCATGTTATAATTGATTATAGACTTGCTATAATCAATTATGATTTCTTACAATATCATGTAAAAGTCTTTAAAAATCAAAAATTGACTTCCATAATCAATTATGTAGTTGTCATCATCGATTATGATTTTCATAATATCACATGAAAACTTGATTGTACATCCATGTGAATATATCATATGGACACAATGATAATTAGTCACAATTTATCCTCAAATCCTCTTACTTCAATAGATGATGAGAAAGTCACAAGACTGACATATATATACATATATATATATATATATATATATATATTTTTTTTCCCTCTCTTCTTTTGTTTTTCATTGCACTAAACATAACAAATGCTCTCTATTCCTTATACTTTTACATAGATCCCCCTCTCCTTCATGCAATTATGTTACACCAAACAAAATATAATCACATTTAAAAGCTCTTCACCCCTCTCAATGATGTATGTTTTGTAAGAATCTAACTTAAATCATTTCCTTAAACTAAACATGTGTTGTTAATTAAGTTATACTCATGGATTATGAATGTATGATCTCTTTACTATTATTTTCATCAAAATATATCTATTATGAATCATATTAATTTTATAAAATATAATATTTATATTATTTTGATGTTATTTTCTTTTTTTTAATTAAAATTAAATATAAGTTATTTTTTCTTATGTCTTTTCAAACAAATAATAAAACTTCTCAAATAATGTACTATATATATATATTATAAAATCATATTAATGAACTAATTACAAAAAATATAATAAAAATGTACTTTTTTATTTATTTTTTTTATATAAGAAACAAATGGTTAATTCATCAAGACTATTAAATATAATTAAATTTTAATAAATAATGTCAAAAAAATAAATTTTATTGTAGTAATACCCATGAAATAAATTTTTTTAATAGTAATTATACTTAATGATACCATTAAAATTTGTGGTGAACCTAAATTATAATGAAGGTGTACAAATATATCACTTTTAGAAAATTATAAATAAATACGCTTACATCATTTGTATTTAGGGGGGTGTATTAGTTTAGGATTTCGTAGGATTTTAAAAGACTTTTTTTTGAGTAAAAAAGTCCATTGGTATTCAATCAGGATTTTATGTCACTTAAAAACAATCCAGTGGTATTCAATATGGATTTTCAAGATTTTTTAAAGAGTCATTAAAATCCATTGGTATTCATTTGAGATTTTTTACAACTTAAAAACAATCCATTGGTATTTAAAAATATAAGGATTTTAAAGGATTGTTGTGTGAGAAGAATTTTGAAGGACTTTCTAGTGTTATCTATAAATACAAGATTCATAAAACAATCTCATCCAAACCCAACGGATTTTGAAAGATTGTTTGAAGTGATTTTTCAAGTGTTTCAATAATTTTCAAGTGAGTTTTTCATCTTTTTTTT